GGGGGGGGGGGGGGTGAGCCCAGCATGCTCAGTGGCGGACCTGGACCAGAAGTACTTTCAGTCCATTCTGGGTTCACCGCCGAGCACACGGGTGGCCCCTCATCTGCCCCAGCATCACAGCATTCACAAGCTGTGCCTGGTACCTCAAGGTATGTAGAAAAAACATTTAAAGCTGTATCTATGGCTGTATCACTGATTCTCCGAATCAGCACTGCATCTTCAGATTTGGATTCAGCCGAATCGAATTGGGACAGTGATCCAAATCAACTAATTGAATCACTGTCCCCGATTTGCGCTGAATCCTAATCAAATATGGCCTGTTTTGCACACCCCTAGTAACTAAGGCAATTAGATACCAAATCCCATTAAAATCAGCTGCCTTAGGCTCCTTTGAAATTTCTTAGGGTATACTGAAAGTAAAGATTCTGGAAGTTATGTTCTCATTAAGCTTTTCTGTAACCTTAATCATCTTATTAAATTACTTAGCTGCAGTAAGATGAAATTCAGTCATCTTACTAATCACACACTTGCTGTATTAACCTGGTTAAACTAGAGCTGAAAAACTGAGGATTACTATAAAATAGCATGCCACAAGGAAGTCAGATTATCCACAAGTGAAAAAATAGAAGTCCTTCTTGTAGTAGAACTCAGAGAATATAATCCCACACAAAATTTTTATTTACATGTTTTCTGGACTGAACCCAAGAACATGGGCCTCACCCCATGTCAGGTAGGGGATATCCCCCAAAATTGCAAACAAGCCTTCTTTTGACATAACACATTTTACCACAGAACCACCCAACAGAATCTGATTTAATGATGTCCTACAATTTGGAAATCATTACACTGGGGATGGAAATATACTCAACTTTCTCCAACTTTCCCTTTCCAACCCCCTAGATTTTCATTAATAAAAAGCATTTTAGGTGTATAGGATTTTTTTCTGAAATTATCAGATCAATAAGCTTACTGACCTTCAAGATAAATCCTACTGATTGCTTTTGTAACTCAACCAATTACCATGAAGCAGTAAACTTCATGTAGAATGGGCTTCCAGCAAATTAAACTTCTGAGCACATTGCATTTGATATTCTTATGGCAATCGTAATAAAATTGATAATGTATTTTGTATGCAAACAACTGCTGGCCATAGACATACAAGAGCAACCTTTGCTTTCCCTGTTAAATAGGTCAGTGAATTTGGTCTTGGCTTTCCTAGTGATTAAGTCAATAGTAATTTGATTCAGGCATATAAAATCCTAATTTTAAAGGGCAGATTATTCTGTCTTTCTTTAACAAAACCCAAAAGCTTCACAGAACTCTCTTTCATAAAACAAATGCCATACCCCTGATCTTTTATAGACTTCAAATGTTAAAGAAGTTCTCCTATTTAAATAGTAGCATCTGATGAAGTGACCTGTGAAACCTGTACGTCTCTGACTCTGTTAGCTATAAGGTGCACCTCTACCCTGTCTTCTGTCTGTTTAAATACTGTATGACTTCTAAATTGCACTGTAGGTATCACCTAAATGACTCTTTCCAAAGTAAATCCTCTATTAAAAATACACAAAGTAAAGGATAGTAAATGAACATGAGGGATAGGTATATGCATTTTGGCATTTTGTATTTCAGGATATGTACTGAATAATATATATATATTATTCAGAACTAATCAACTTGAAAAGTCACCTGTCTGAGAAGAAATAGAGCACTTTGGATTCTAACAATTGAATTAATCCGAGACGATCTATCTATCCACAGATAGGCAGACACCTATGGGAGGGTGGAAACAGGGTTCTCTTTAAGGCTCCATCAGGAGATCTCTGCCCTAATATAGGTTCAGGAGAGTTTTGAGGTCATCTTAGCATCCCTGTGAAGCTATTAACATGGGACCCTTTGGAAGTAAGGCACAGGAGTGAATTAGTGACTTCCTCTTCTGTCCCACTCTTCCTTCTCTCTCTGACCCCTCTTCGACCCCTCCCACCATGATGGTTCAGTCTCAGCAGGTTTGTTATGGAAAAGCCTAAGACATGTTAAACCTGGTATATCTGTTTGTCTGTGAATTATATTATGGGATGGATGGAATAAAATGAAACATAACATTTCCTATCCACAGCCACAGTGTAGGACAGAAATGCTAACTCAGTACAGACAGTCAAAAGCCTGAGGCTGACTTGATTCAATCTTCACAGCTTAGTTGAAACTACACAGATTGAACTGATAAGCAAGCAAACAGATATTTAATTTTGATTCTGGTAATGCAGTCACATATCTGAAGAGGCCCAAGCCAGAAGCCAGGTGGCATTAGGGCACACTTCCCTGCTTGGATGATGCAGACAACTTGGGCCAAAGCTAGCCCAACCACCCTGCTAAGGGAAGTTTGCAGGGGAGGTGCAAAGCATCCCGAGATACTTGGGCACTGAGTGTCAACTTGAATCTGGAGGGGATTTGGGACAGAAGTTCAATAAACTGATTGAACCTAAATCAGTTAAGTCAGCTACT